GTAAAAATCACGAAAATTCGTAAATTATTTTATGCTAGAAATTCATAAAAATTTTCCCTTTTATATCTAAGATTTGGAATTGTTTAATAATTTATAATATATCCTAGACAGATAAACCGTCTCCGCTCAGAATGGTTTTTCGTATACAATGATATAATATCATTGGATTCAAATTTAATTCTATCCATTACAGTAACCTACTGTACAGCAGAGCGACATCCACGACTTACCCACTTTTTAATTTATGTCAATTATATAAAAAATTTTCTATTATTCATATCAAAATTATTTTTGATGGAATAGTTTAATAATTTATTATATCTTTTCTAAACGGTTTAAGATGTACGGTATAATATCTACAGCCGTGCTTTTCTACGGTCCACAGAATAGATATGGTGCACAGATACTAGTGTGTGATGGTACTATCTAAAAAAATCGTGTTCTGAACATAGGATGAGATCTTATACTCTATGGTTCCGAACGAAATGTTATCAGTTTCAGTTATTTCTGTTATGGTTATCATTTATGGGTGTTTTGAATTTTTCGATTTTGTATTGTAATCGAATTTGACGTATTTCGACTTTTTTAGTCATTTTGTGTTCAATTAATTATTAAAATTATAATAATTGAAGACATTAAAAATATTTTAATATGTCTTCTTTACAAATTACACATTCACACAGACCGGAACTAGATTATATAACAATCAGAATTTTAATATAATTAAATATTATGTGTAGCTCAAAAGTGGTAGGTACCGTAAAATGGGGACTCCGGACAGATTTCAATGTTTTYTCAAAAATTAACCTCAATATATTGTTGCAAAAATTATGAAAAAAATATACAATGTTCTTTAGGTATGTTAAAATCATGTAGCAGAAGAATAATCATAAAAGTCATTAAAGTTCACACTTTTTTAAAAGTTGAAAACTGTCCCGGAGTTGCCCGCAAAATGGGGTGACTTCRGACAGCTTATGAATTTCAAAACGATGTTGTCAAATTGTACACAAGATGAATGGTGGGAAGGGGGGTGTGGGGGCTTTGCCCCCCACACGGTCTGCTTTGATTAATTGTGCACTTGGAACGCAGTTTTTAAATCGTTGGATTGAGCTCCTCTACTTAATTTTTCCCAATTCGAGCACTGCTTTTCTATGATATACTTACTCTWTATTTTTATAAAAACGGCWGCATAACTACACCTTGTCAGCATGCKACTAATTACTATCAATTATATATGTAGCACCTAGAATCTAAGCGGTATAAGTGACATTTATATTTCGTAATAATCGAGTTAAAAATTCTAATCTAGATAATATCATTTGTGTATGGAGTTTAAATTGATTTCCTATATCAGATCGTAGCACAAAATTCACTTATATTTCTTTACCGCCAACTAAAATGGAAAACTAGTATTGTAGCTGTGCACTTATGTCAGATTTTTTTTAAATGTCACTTATAACTCTAGTGTTATTGGCGCCTCATATGGTATAGGATGGTTATTTATTTATGGCTCATTTCTTGTAACCATGTAATTATATAATAATATAATATATAGGTGTGTACAAAGCAATAATTGATTTTCGTTCGCTGAAAACAAATTTCTAGACTCTAGAAGTGAGCCCATCTTTAAAAAGTGAATTTTACACCCTTATATTCTGGTTTGAAAATACTTGGAAAATTTAAAGTCGCGAGGATCATCGTTTCAGATAAACTCGTTGATTAGTCAGTCAGGACATAGGTATCATTGTTTTTAGTGAGTTATTAACACAGTGTTGCAGGCGAATAATTAATTATAGATGATTAATTTATTATAGAATTTAAAAACCTAAAATATGTCATAATTCATTACTAAGTCTCATAAAATATTGGCTCAGTAGTTTTGGATGGCAAATAAGAGATGGCAATAACAATTTGTGTCAACCTCCTGAGTATATAGAAGAGCTATACTTTGCTCCTTTCAATAAAATAATAAAYTTAACTTTTAATATGTACCTATGTATAAAAAAATCATCGATAAATTTATTTTTGATATTTTGATAATGGTCAGTTCTTGATATTACATATCGTTTGTTATTAGAAATCGCGATATCGCAGTGGTAGCGCAAAGATTATTTTTTGAGTCACTGGGTCCAAGCCTAATAAGGAAGATGAGTAAAATGTCTACCTACTGTTAATAATTTATCAGTTCATACCTATTTAATGTTCAAAAATAATTTATTACTACCTATATAAATGAAATGATATCGATTCTATGTAAATATCCTACTACAGTTTGAACAGTATAATTAATAATACTTTTTTTTATCCAGATTTATGTCGGTTATAGTTAGAAAAAGATTAATTTTGTCGAAGTTTAGGTACGCTTTACAAAAATCCAATTGATGTATCCACTAATGTAATAACATACTAACACGTTACATGTATTGGAATATCTACACTTTTCGCTAATTCGCTTAGTAAAAACTGAAGCTGAAAAACKTTATTGACGAATGACTAYCCAATCCTGGTATTGTSGTGCTATCCTGGTATTGGGCAACCCATATGGCTATATACACACAATTCTACTGGGAACTTAACAATTGCGCTTAAAATTTCCTTTTAATATACCAAATACCAATTTATTGGGCTCGGTCTTTTTTGGGTCTATATATCAATGATTGTGCTCGGTATTTTCTGTATCGATAGACCTGCAGTTGCGCTCAATAAAATAATGCATATTCAAAGAACGTCAATA